ACTCCTACATGCCTGTTTTTGTCGCCGTATTGCACAAGATGGCATATTTCCCTGATGCCGCTTATTTCATAAATTATATTGTTTTATGGGTTTTTATTGTGGGCTTTTTATCGCCGTTGATTGTGATAAATGGTGGCTATATGGGCTAGTGGGCTGCAATTAATGCGATGGCATCTTCTTATAGATTCTCAAGGTCTGAACTTTGTTGGCCACAAGATACACACTGGCTTCAATCCTTCTTTCGCCCACTAAAAACTCCTCTATTTACCCAACCTAGTCGCTTCACATTCCTCCGACCAATCTCATCGTGGCTAATTAAATTTTAATATTAAATTTTCGGGCTGCGAAATGTGCTACGTACGCTCGGCATCCGCTTGTAAAATTATCTTGGCAAAGTTTTCCCGAATTTTCCGAAAATGGTGGGTTAGACGCTCCGAAGAGGCGAAACAAAAAATCAACTCCCACGTGTGTTCGGGGTGTTCAGGCTCTGTTTCTGTCCGCCGGGGCTCATGCAACATTTATGGCGAGCTCTTAGGCCCGGAGAACACTTTTACGATGTCATAAAATAATTAATAACGCCACTAAACAACGTAATTACGCGCCTAAGCCCAATGCAAACAGGTATATGTGTATGTCTAGGGATATACGTACTTATATACTACCTACAATATATATGGTGAGTGGGCCAGATTATGTGGTTGCCGACGCCTAGATAAATGCTACAGTTTCGTGTTAACAGAATTGCAACTTTGTATTTAATTAGGCACGGGCGCTTATTCAATTTGCCGCCCCGTTTTCGGCCCTCACCTGGTGGACTTACCGTAAATCAGCTCACGTTCAAAATTCGCCGTCGGCACAACGATTAGGAAGACCACGCCCGGCATCCTGATGAGCCTGCGAAAGGATGAGCCGAAAAAGTGGCCGTTTAGTTTGCAAATTGTGCAGCGAGACTTATGGCCATATGACACTGGCTTGAAACTCGACTAACTTACTGGATTTATTTTCAAAAGTCATGTCTCGATAGATAAAGAAGGGTACTCACCTGAAATCTTTAGGACCCAAATAACCAAAATTGAATCAAAATATAATGATCCAGTCAGATAGTAAAAAATCAAGCCACTTTCATAAGGCCTTTTAAAGCATCCTTTTCAAGTATCATAACCCCTTAAATATGTTTTCCTTTTTGGATTTTTTGAAAGACTTTTTAAAAAATGTTCTGAAGAATTCGCGTTTTTGGGGATATTTTTCTATGGGAAGCTTAGTTATAGCCCTTCTTAAGCTTCTTAAGAAAGAATCAAAGCGCCTTAAGAATTTTTTTCATTAAGAAAAGAACAAAAGCAGAACAGAAGAATTTGAGATTCTGAAGAATTCGCGTTTTCATTTTGTGGCTTAGTTTGCAAACTGTGAAACGAGATCAATGTACCTTGACTGACTATGTGGATTTCTGATAATCTGAAAACTGTAATTTATATATAGTGAATCATATTAGTTGCTTTGAGTTAGACGAAATTAAGGGTAGTGTCATAAGGGCTTAAGAAATGTATTCAAATGTAGTTTTCTAAAGACTTAGCCCAACTTGTCAGTTTTAAGACCGGCCAACGCCCAGATATGTGCATCTAAAACATGGAGTAGAGCCCTGTTTTGCACAACAGCTTCAGCTCCCCACCGTTTTACCGACTTTTAAACCCAGTCATCTGCATCTGCATTAGCATCTCTGTCCGGTTTCATTTGAGCTCCTCGTGCCCAACTTTTTAGAGTCAGAGCAACTTGCAGGCGTTAATGGGCTCTGAAGGTTGCTGCTATAAGTAGTTTGCGTTTTGTTTGCATTTTTCTAGGAGTACTTTTAGAAGTTTTGGCATGCTGATGGCTTGCAGATTATCGCAACAATTTCTTAATCAAAGTGCAGGCCAACTCTTTTGCCCAACGTAATGTTCTCCAGTATCAATAAAAGGTAGAAAGAGGAGGCCTTCGAGGGTATTTGCACACCCAGTGTACCAGTGTTCCGACTACTCGAAATTAAAATGCCATTAGCAGCGAGTTGGGATAAGAACGATGCGAGTGCGATTAAACAGAGGAGCAGACAACGAGGCCAGGCCGGGGATATTACTGCCTCTGGAGTGCCGATGCCGAGGGTTAACATTAACCCACCGCTCCAGAAAGAACTCGCATACGTATAAGCGAATAAGAACCTGAGATTTAATGGAGCTGCGATTTTTACTCTCCAATGGAATCACTGCGGTTCTCGAGGCACGAAAGCAAGCTGGAAATGCATTTCCCCACCCGAGATTTACTCAAGAGCAGGCCAACAAGGATGCTCCTGGTCTCACATTATGTTGTACAACTTGGCACACTGCCTTAAAGGGGCAGGAAAAATGTGTTACGATTTAAGGAAAATTAATAGAGAGGTTAAAAATATATAAACCATGGAAGTAAAATACATAGTAACATAAATAAAACAAATAATAATAGCCCCAATAATTTCTATAACATCTGTTTACCAACAATGGATGTCTAATAAATCTGATTTTAAGAAATTCTGTAATAAATATTAGTTAGATCACTTCAGATGTATTACAACACATAAATCCCTTTGAGTTCTGGCACTTTTCCCAATTATTTTTCTGTGTAACTAAGATTTTTTGAGTGCACAGAGGAGTCTGGGCGAAAAAGAGTCAACAATAAAGAGGTTCTCAGGAGAATCAATATTTGAATACACCTTATGAGCAGCCAGTTCTGCGCCCAGTTGACATTTTCCGGGTTCCCCAACCCGTCATGCCGAGAAACTTTTCCACAAACTGTTGGGTTTTTTTTTGTTGTTTGCAACACTTTACTTAAAAACTTTTCACAGCAGTCCCAAACGAACGGCCTACCCATACTCATTTTTATACTTTTCGGGGGGATAGAGGGACAGATCCCAGGGCCTAGAGGCAGAGAACCCAGTACCGATTTCCCTGTCCTGTTCCGGTTTTTGGTCGGACCCATTCACCCGGTTTCCACAAGCCTCTTAGGAACTTTCAAGCCAAACAACCGAAGCCACTTTGCAGCACGTTCACTGTTGCACTTTTATTTTTTTCTCTTTTTCTTACCACTTGCCATCTTTCATTTTGCGGCATATTTATTAAAAAGCAAGAAGCGCAAAAAATTACCCAAGCCCTGGGAAAATCGTGGGGTATAAATTCTTTTATATTAACCGAAAATATTTATTTTCCTGCTTGCTGCCTTCGTTTTTGTGCGCACTTTTCTGATTAATTCCGTAACTATATATTTGCACAACTTGGGTGAAGTTTTTCGCCGCGACCACTTGTGAAGAGTGCAAAGCCGGAGACTCCAGCCCTTCGAGCTTTACCTTCCACTTCTCTGGAAGGATTTTACTGGGCCCTGGCATTACGGCATTCCGGCATTGTCGATCCGAGTGTTTGTGTGCCCCCAACAATGGAGCCTGCCAGTAATTTGTATGAGTACCTGATGCCGACCCACTAATTAGGGCACGAGAATTGCATTAGTTTGGCATTCGGCGAAAATAATTACAAACTGCAGGGGGAAAAAACCGAACCATCAAAAAGCCAATTGAAGAGCTCCAAGGTTTTTAGAAGGCGCGAAGGGGCCCCATAATTACTTCCAATAAGTTTTTGGCCACACAAACCTCTAGTGACCAGAAGAGACTTTCCCTGTCAGCTTTGATTTCATGCTTTGCCACATTCTGCCCCGAAGTTCTTTCGAATTTCCAACCCCCCAACTATTGTGAGGGTCTAATGCCATCTTAATTAAAAGCGCTAATTGGTTATGTCTGGAAAAAGTAGAGAAAAGGCCAGCCCTGACAACCCATCAACCCCTTAAATACTTTTAAAGGTAATGTAAACTTAAAATTCAGAAGAATCACTACTTCAACTTTGTTAAAGAGGGGCTTTAAGAACCTTATGGCTTTTGTTTTGCCAGAGAAAAACCCTTGTGGTATTAAACAAGATATGACTCAATAGTATGAATATTTAAGCGTGCAACAAAAAAAGCAGGGGGGCTAAACACGGAAAACACAGAAAAAGTTGGCTAAAACTTTTAGACAACAAAACTAACCACCGTATTAGGACTTGGGTGGACCAGAGCAGAGCCAAGCGGCTTTGGCATAATGCATAATCATTTAAACAAGGATAAGCCTCAAGATGAGTCCTGCAGCCGGGCATTATGACACACCGTGGTGCACCGAAGTCCGGAAAAATTCCTTTTATGGCCAATTTGAGCGGGGCGAGAGCTTGGCCCGCAGCTTAAAGCCAAGGCGATAAGAACAAAGCAGCCCAAAAGAGGTGAACCTCCAAGGCCGCTTAAAGAACTACAGGTTAACCTTTTTTTTCTAGCGAAACTTGCCATTTGAACGAGTTTTTTAGCTGTTTTCCGATGCGGGTCCAATGCCCAGTGGTGCTATTTGCAGGAATATATTATCATTAATTTCGAATTATGAAAAAGTTGCGTAACAACGAGTTGGGGCTAAGACACAGTGATAAAAAAATGGAAGATGGAGTGGAACAATTCATCTTATTATCAAATACATGAGGTATTTAGTAAGATGATCTAATTTCCAAATATTATGATCCAGGTAGAAAATACAAGATACAATGTAAGTGCTCTTTACTTTAAGAACTGTTTTATTAAATGCTATAATATTAATATGATAATAACCTTAGATTAACTAAAATGTATTAAAATCGCAATGATTAAAGAGAAATGAATGTTCTTCTTACTTAAAAAAAATGATATAATGTAATTATAATATCCCTAAATTAACTGCAATTATTTTTTTAAGTATTACCACATCTAAATTAAAAAAGAATCGAAATGGCTGAAGATTAAAATATTTAAACTGATTTTGAAAGTAATAGAATATATTTTTTTATCAGTGTAGAAATAGAAGAGGTGTTAATATCACAGGAAACATGTTTCCCTTTAAAAGTAATCCCAGAAGCGTGCTAAAGACCCCAACTTAACGAGTTTTCCCCCCTTTCTTTCAGCTCGGTCGTGTTTTGCGGAACTTCAACATCACCAAGATAAGCGATCTGGAACTGATATCAAACTCCACCGATCGCCTGGACATAACCTTTCACTTCTTTGGGGTGAAAGGGGACTCTCAAAGGATTCGGGACGCCATCACCAGGATGGTGGAGCGCGGGAGAATTGGCAACTTCACCCTGGTGGCCAATTTCCATCACTTCGATGAGAACCCACCGCTGGGTTTGCTGGTGAGTGGCCATGTATTACCAAAGTAAAAGCATTAATCCATCTCTTTTTGCTCATGGAATTCCATGTGAAAGCTACGTTTGAGATATTTCATTGGTTTTTTTTTTTATTTTTTTGCTGGTTGCAAAGCATTCCCCAAGTTATCTATTGAATTTTTCCGGTTAGCCTGAATTTTCGCACAAATAAATTGTAAATTCGTCGCAGTTTTTCCAGTTTTTCACTTTGCCATCTGGGCACATCCATCAATTGGAGGCATTCCATCATTGATTTTTGTCGAATGGTATTTTCATTAATTCGCATCCGAGAAGGCCATCGAGGCTATTAAAAGCGTAATAAATATACTGGTCCCGGCATTACATTTCCGATACATATTAAACAATAATTTATTAACTATTGAGGCGCGTGCTGGAAAAACAAATGAAAAAAAAAAACCAGAAGAAATACAGGGCGGTAATAGCCAATGTAGCAAAGTGCCGTGTTAATAAATATGCACATAAATATGTCAACAGTGTGGCACTTGACACTCGGACCGATGGCGAAAATAATTATTTATTAATTGCGGCATGTTCGCCGAAACGAGAACAATTGGCCTCATCAGGCGGCCAGCAATTAAGTGGCATTAACATGACGAACAAGCCGCCAAAACCTCAGAGGGAATCGCCCCCAAGTTTGACGGACAGGAACTGGGGATCCCTCAAAGCCCCAAAACCCCAAAACCAAACTGTCCAGTGTCTAATTAGTGTGACATTGTATCCCTTTGCAGGAGCTGACCGTCAATCAACCGCAATCAGGAGTCCGCGAGGCCAGCGAGTTCATCATATCCTGCACCGCCCAGGGCTCATCCCGGATGCAGTTCCAGTGGTTCAAGGATGGGGCCGTGGTAAATGCCACCAGGGCGACGAGGTGAGTGCCGCTTATCTGCCAGCAACCAGCTCGAAATACCATAAAACTTGGATAACTTGGAGCATACAGAGAGTGGCGTCTGAAGTTTTTAATAAAATGGGAAAAATAGGAAAAATCTCTCGGTCCAAGCACAAGTGTTCAATTTGACTTTATGACTTTTACACATCAATAAACATGACATAAAAATGCCGGAATAAAAATGAAACGGCCAAAAAGGATAAATAAGTCAGGGCAAAGATAAAGATTTGTCAGTCGTAGAGGAGGGGTCATAGTGTGGGGGTCGTCTAAACCGGAGACTGATTTCTGGACCAGGCTGAAAGCTAACCGCAGTAAGCCCGGCCGGAATGATTGATCATAAATCCAACAGTGTGGGCCAGCCGGAACACATGTGTGGCCAACATATACGAATGGCATTTCAAGACCTCATTCCAGAGAACCCCAAACCCCTCAGATCCTTTCAGATCCACTTGGCTGGCGGCGGGGTGTGCAGGGGTGTATTACATAAAAAGCATATGGCCGTAACTAACGAGGGGCTGTTACTTGGCCGACTTGGCAGGGGTTACGAGGAGCTTAGCCCTTCCATGAGCAACACCACCCACTGAAATCCACTAAGGGAAAACCATGTTGCCTTGACAATTCGCCTTGCAGCCGCACCACAAAGCTCAAACTTTAAATGTGTTGCGTGAATGGGAAATGAGGGGAAATGAGGAAAGCGTAGGTCCTTGGAGTGGGTTCTTGGTTAAATGGGGGGAAAAGGAGAAAACGGCATGTCGAGGGGGCCTTTGCACTGCACATGCCGATAGAATTCGCAATTCATTAACAAAAATTTAAGCGCTGGCAGGAATGCTTTTAGTATTCTGCTATAAAGACTTTTTGGCAACGACATGTTACGAAACGTTGCCAAAGTTGTTTTTATCAGCCACGAATCTTGAATGGCCTATTTCGAAATACTAGCAGAGCTCCTCATTTAATTTATTTAAATTTTTGAGGCCTACGGAAGCCCCTTTTAAAGTTTAAATGGGGCTTCTATGACGTATTACCATTAATATCACCCTGAAATCAATGTGTTTCTTTGTAATAATACAACAAAATATTATATATCATTAGAAATTAAATTAAAAATTTCTAGAATTTTCTATTCTCCCTTAGTTAAAGCCATATTACATTTGCTTAAATTTCGAGTTACTAAATATATTTATTTAAAACAATCTTGACAGCTCACCATTTTTTTAGATTTATTAGACAGGCTTAAGGTTATCATAACTCTCATTGATAAATTCAATCTGTTAGTGCAGTTTTAAGCCTGTGTCATATGACCATAATTCACTTTTGAATTCATCAAATTAAAAGAGCTTACAAAATGTATTTTGTTTAATCACAGACAACACTACTTTAGCTTGTTATACAATCGGATAACTATCAAACCGAAAATGGGATGTTCTATTTTTATTTGGCATTCCCATAAAGGATTGTTCATCCGTATATTACCTTTCAAATAAATAAATGAAGGGCTGCCCACCGCAAATCGATAACCAAATCTATTCTCGGACTTTTTGTTATCCTGTGAAGCCAACTATGCGTTTTCCAACTGCCAACTGGTAGAACAATTCGGACCCTTTCATGGCCATTCCGCCAGCCCCAACCAAACTTATGATTACTTTTATGCATATTTGTACGGATCCCACATGTACAATGTACATACATTGTACATATCCATATCCGTATTTTTGCTGCAGGACCTTCACGTGGCTGGCAGGACTTTCCCCTGCCCTTTCTCCCAGTTTTCCCCCCATTTTGGCCCACTTAGACGCATTGATGTGTAAAAAATGACTGCCGTACAAAGCCGCAAACACATGTTTCCCCCAAAAACGAAGGGGCAAGTATTAGTAAATATTTTAACTAAAGTGAAGTGAGTGAAGTCATTCATTTGGACATTTACCAACTTTGCATTATACAAACGACTACACATTAAATCCGTCCGATGACTTTACTTTTGCGTACTAAAATAACCGGAAGTAAGTGAATTTTTAATGCTTGATTTCACCGCAGGGAGCTGTTCACTTGGGGAAATGTAATTTAGCATCAGAATAGGAGTAGTACTATTCCTTTCTTGATTAGTTGACTAGTTGTAAGCAATTACCTTACTTGGATAGTTTTCATATGCCAAGTAACCAAAAATATTTATTTAACTTTTAACGGAAAAAAATAAGAGATTTGAAGGTATACGAATATTAAATATACCTATTCCAACCCTTATTAAAATTTGTCTACAAAAACCTGGCATTACAAAGTTTATGTATCCAATTTTTAGGATTTTGGCATTATACCTTTTTAAAAATATCTGAATAAAATCTTTTCTTAAATTTTTCTTTAATATTTTGAAACAGAGAAATCAAAACTCTTTTTCTGTGTATACTTACTTTTCCTTTAATATGAAAATACCTTTGAAATAGTTTGAAATTTAAGTCACAAAGGAACACCCTAGCTAACTTAAAGACCAAGTTAACTACATTAAGAAACCCTTAAGTCCGAAAACGGAGGCGTTCGACCGTTAATCTATTGGATTGGCAGTCGCCAAATTTTGACCCAGTTAGCAGATGTTTATCGGCAACAGCATAGGCCCAGCCCATTCGATTCCCAGGCCGAAACCCACTTAATGAATGCAATTATTTTCCAATCACGGCGCTAACGCATCCAAAGCTGGCTGCCAAGGAGCCCGCAAGCAGGACTAACTAACCCCAAACTCCCGAAACCTCCTGAAACCTCCCAAAACTCCCAAAACTGGGGCTTTCATTAACACTGCCATTTGAAGGCGGAGGTGGGCACATGTGTAAAGTAATCTATGGCTGCCACCGGGGTTCGCCCATTAATTGTGCCCCTAATCCTGTGTCCTTTGCAATGTGGGTCGAGGGATTGCCCTGAAGACAAGGTCGTTGGGCCTATTAAGTGCTACAACACCACTAATGCCATTATTGGAACCGCGACTAAGTAAATTCCATCCATAAAAGCCATCTTTGATTGTCTGATTGAGTTTTACTTTCACTTTAATTGGTCTTATTTCACTTTCAAGGAGCAAAAGGACCTTTAAATATTTCACTTGGCTTACTTATAGCTTGTGCACACTTTTGAAGTCAAAAATCAACTGAGCTAAAGAGCAGGTAGTCCACAAAAGATCACTTTTCCCCTCATTTCAGACGTTTAACAAATTCCTGCTAATTTCCATAAACAGGAGCTTGTGAAAATCTTTAAAACTATATGTTCAACTCTCTGACGTCTTTAACAACTATGTGTTATGTAAAAGTCTGCTTCTCCGCAAATGCACAAAGTTGTATGGCTGGCAAACCAATTGACCTTTTAGAGAACGAATCGAAATTCCTGCTAATATTAGCTTAACCCTAAGCACTTGCGTAATCTATATTTGTCTCAGCGCTATGAAGTGGAAGGGCTTGACTGCCTGTCAATGCAATTTCGAAACCCATTCCCCTTTTTTTCCCTCATTTTCCAAGAGCCAAGTACAAGAACAAGAACAAGACTTTGGCTCTGGCCAACGAAACTGTTGCAGTCACTTTTGGCCGGGCTCTGAAAATTTGTCAAAGTTGCTTAAAAGCCAAAGCAAAAATTCAATTTCAGCAGCCATGCAGCAAGCAGCCAAATTGCCTGACCCCAGCACGAGACATAAGTAAAATATATTTCGTATATATTTTACAAATTGGCTCAACCGGGGGCAACAGTAGTCCAAAATGGCAGCAACAAAGGGGCAACAACTGTCTTGACAACGCAGCCATGTTGTTGTTCTCGTTGTCTGGCACAATGGAATGCAGCTCATGGCTTATACAGGGTGCGAAATTAATCCTCCTTCTACAGAGGATTACACTATAAGTGTAGTTCGACGAAGTTTCTATGATTACCACCCCATCAATAAGCTGGTTATTCACTTTTGCCATACTTTAGATACACGCCATCACCCTGTATTTCAATTATTTTGATGATAGTATTGAAACCACACTGAAAAAAAGGCTTTCCAAAGTCCCAATATTAAATAACTAAATAAAATCAATAATATTTAATAAATATATTAACCAAAGTATAAAATCTCGAGGTATAACTATTTTTTTAATTTTGATCTTAGCTCTTTTTAAATAAATAAACGTTAAAAAATCTATGTAAAAATAAAATAATATAAATTATTGAAGAATGAATCATATCAAAATGTGTATATTATACTCTTCAATGCTTGATCTTAAATAATAAGTAAACTTCCTGAGATCCCTTTCTTAAATTAGTCAAAAAATGCTCATTTTAATTTTGAATTCTTGATCTTAACTCTTTTGAAATAAAGAAACTCCCATAAATTCCTTTTATAAAACAAGTACAAAATAATCATATTGAATATTAAGCCAAGTAATCAAAATGTGCTAATTATATTCTTTAATTCTTAGTCTCAACTATTTTTCGACATATCACATCTTTTTCTAAAACTCTTTCCTTTCAATTCTTACACCTCCTGCACAATTGAAAGTCCCCTTTTTTCTCAGTGAATCAATATCCGATGTGGGGGGTCACGATTTTCATTAGTTTCATTTGCCACAATGCGTCTGCCATACTCGTCTGCCCGATTCTTTGGCCCGGCTTGGCTCTGTCTTTCAGTTGCGGGGTGACAATGGCACAATTAGTGACACCATGGCCATTCCAATGCCATCCTCCATTTCCTCAAAATTTGGCATTATCTCATAACTGGCTCAAACGAGACTCGCTGTGCAGTGTTTTCCTTGTCCCGACTGGTCCCTTCTTGTTCCGGCTCCTTGCAATTCCGGCTCCTTGGCGCCACTTGTGCAATAAATGGAGGAAGCTCCGCGGCTGATTGGACCGTTGCTGGGACGGATATTGATCAAACAGCTTGGGTTGTCGGACAAGGCTGAGACCCACTTTCCAGGCAGCGCGTGTCGGTTTGAAGGAATGCGATACAGTGGAGACCCTTAAAGTGGAAGCTAACGAAAAAC